GTGGACCCTTTTTGTTTTTAAAGCCAGAGTCTCCTGAAGAAATATGAAACACTTCTCAGTAATGAAAGGCATGTGTTCTGGGAGGGAAACTTTTCCCCATGTGCCTTGTAACGCAGACGTAAGGGCTGATATGTACGAGGGAAGGGTGCCTGTTGCACTGAGCTGCTCGGTTTTGGTTCTCCCAAGGTTTTCCCCGTTCAGAAACACTTTGTCATCACTTTTATAATTTTCAGAGTGGTGGCATTGTTGTACTGCTTGTACAAAAAAAAGCCACATCTCTAAAATAACACAGCTTTAAAAGGGTGGACTTGCCACTGGAACAGGTCTAACACATCATGCTACTTAAAGTTGACTCTGAAGTTGGCCAGACTTAAAAGAGGCAAGTGTTTTAAATAATATGAAAATCTCTGTCTCGATATAAATAGATATCACACTTGTTAAAAGGAGAGAAGGTTATGTGGCTTGTTTTGCCTTAATTGCGAGGTGGAATTGCAAAGCAGCTTTGTAGCCGTGAGAATTATATGTGGGAACAGAAGAAACTTGCTTAAACATTGTGTTTAATGTAAACCTCACTTCAATCTGCTTGAGGTGTTTGGAATTGCTTAATTGTCTGCATTATTTGTGCTGTGTCGTGTGTACTCTTACAGGTACTGACTTTAAACAGTAAACAGAAATTAGAGCAGTTAATTCGTGTTAAATTCTGAAGTTTTCTTCCCCACCCCCAGCGCATGCTCCCTGGAAGGTCTGCCAGATTAATTGCAAAAACAACTGCTTTGAGCACGTTTCCTCTGATATTCTTAAATGGCAAAGAGAAACACAGCAGAAATAATGGAAACATAATTGAAGTGCATTAGAGTAGTGCCTGTTGAAATACATAGTGGGAGGGTTAAAAGGTGCTACTGCTTTAGATGTTCTAACCAAATGCAAACATATGCAGGAGAACCTGTTTCAACCTGCATTTTTTAGATCATAATGACTTTTATTTTTAAATAAAATAATTCAGTTTGAGAATTTGCTGCAGATGTGTCTGCAACCCACGTTAACTTTTTAGCTGTCGTGTCCCAATTTGTTTTTTGTTTTTCCCTGTGGTGTTTACATTGTAGCGTAAACACAGAATTTCTCCCGGTGTGGAGAGAGCAGCAGGCGTTGTGGGAGCTGCTGGAAGTGTACCTGACTCTGCCACCTGCAGTTTGCTGCTTTGAAATGAATTGCTTAACCCCACATGGGGAAATTTGCAATAGGTTTCTGGGTTTTTTCCTAAATGAGTGCAGGTAGCTTAGTTATACTCTCCTAAATTTGTGCATTTTTGTGGTGAAACTTCTGGGATGTACTAAAGCAGGGCAACCTCTTTCAAGACAACTGCACTGAGATTTGTGGATAAACTTTGATACTGATATATTTTTCAGTCTCCACTTTTCTCTGTCTTTGCCTTGATTGCCTTTCATAGTAAACGATAGCAGGTTGAAAAGCCCACATAACATATTTCAGGATGTTTTCCTCTTTGAGACAAACTGCAGTAGGCCATGGTTTCTTGCTTGGCACAATCTACACAAAAAGAAATTCATCCTATCAGATCAAGGCTGTCTGTTATCTTAAGAGACAGGATGCTGAATACAGTTTGGTGGCTCGTGCAAGAGGGGATGTTGCTCATGGTCTGTAATGACATCAAGTGTTTTTGCAATTGTATTCAGCTGTTGTAACATTTCATGGTAAAGAACAGGTGTTGGTAAATGTAAGGAATATGTTTTTTGAGGTTTCCAGAATAAATATTCATGGCAGAAAATTTTCTGATGAAGTAAGCGTGCATCCTCATTAGCTGTTGAAGTCATTTCTGCGTGCCATTGATTTTTTTTTTAATGCGATAATCTGTCTGCTGTACAAATTTAAATAACTTCAAACAGTCAAAAACTTTATAATACTCAGTTCAGCATTGTAAGATGAAGCAGTATCACCTTGAAAGACACTTTGGTTTTGTCAGTACAAAATATCGCTTTGTATATAGTTCTATACTAATCAGCGTTTTTTTCTTCTCCGTGTCCTTCCCCCTCTCCACTTGTTAAGGGTTTCACCTTTGGCTTGTCAAATGGACCTGAAGTGACAGTGAGTGTTAACCGTGAGAGCTCTACAAGCACAGGACTGCTGGGATGTTGCGACAGAACGGCGGAAGCAACAAGCGTGGTTTGGGATTAGCCCGACTGTCTACCTCCAACTTCTTCACCATCTCGAATTCAGCAAATTGGGGAATGGGGCGCAGCACCAAGAGCAGCTCTCTGAGCAGCATTAGCTCCAACTCTGACTGCTACGATAATCCTGTTGTGGATCCAGAATATATCATGCAACTGGTGAACGATGTCAGAAAATTTGCAGATGTGCTACTCTATTTGAAGGAGGCCATTCTTTCAGAAGGTGTGGTCTTTATTCATAATTCTTAGCGTTTCTGAAATTCTTACAGCTCCACTGAAATGTTTTTAACTAATCTTTATCATGGTTGCTCCCCATGCCTTATACCTTCACCCACTATCTTCCCTTCCTCTCCTCTCCCCACCCCCAGCATGGTGATTACGGAAATGGTGGTTTTTACTTTGGGTTCTGTATTTCCTCATCATAGCAGTGCAGTCTGTTTCATAATCATAACAAGGGAAAATAGGCCCTTGACAGGTTGTCTAGACCAGTGCTGAAAGTTAGTGAGACCATCAAATGATTAGTCGTTAACCACCTGAATGTTTTTGTAATTGCAAAGAATTCTTCTACTGTTTTGGTGCTGTTTCAGTTTTCTAAGCTGGTTTGGTTTGCTTTTTGAAAGTCTTACTAATAGTTTGAATTTTAAGGTAGAATGTAACTCTGCACCACCTTCTACAAGGGAAGTATTTACCGTCTTCTGCCAGCAGGTGGAAACTGCAAATTTTCTCGCTTGTGGGAGCTGTGCATTTTTGTGTGTTCCTGTGCCTTGAGGGAAGTGGTATTGGTCCATTCTCAGTCATCAGCAG